GTGTGTGTGTGGTGGTGGGGGAGGTTGGTTTCAACTTTCAATTCAACATAAAAATAAAAAATATATGTTATGCGCACCTGGCGCATATGCGGCCCCGCAGCGCACACCCCCCAGCGCACCAGCCCTGTGCGCAGCGCATTGCACATCGCGCACCTCGCACCGGTGCGAGCGCACCTCGGGTCTGCGCTCCACGCACCGCGCAGCGCACAGGGTTGATGCGCCGCAAGTATGGTCCGAAGTCAATATTAGTCTAGTGGGTCAGTAGGAACCATGAAATGGTTTCACCCAGTTCGCAGGACAATTGCAGATCCCAGGGCTCGATCCCTAGACCTTTCCCTGAACCCCTGTACACCCATTGACCCTCTGTGCCTTGAAACCGTGACCTGTCCCCAGACACGTGCGTTTTGGTTTCATGCGTATAGTTGGGCCGCATGACTCGAACCGTAGTGTGATGAGGCAGAGGCAGAGCAGCGAGGCTGGGAGAGAGAGGGGGAGTGAGAGCACACACACACGCTCACTCAACTTGACGCAGACTCGACACGACTCGACAGACGAAGTGGCAAAGTGGAAAAGTCGCAAAGTCACAGTCTTGAATTCCCGAACGCAATGTCGAAGTAAAGTCACACTGAACACAAGCACTAAGGGTGAAAACCCGGTTGCCCATACTGTACAGGGGACCGATATAAGTATCGGTTCCTCGTAAGGTACAAGGGGCAAATCTGCAAAAGCCCAAGGGGCGAAACTGAAAAATGAGGAATTTGAAAAAGGCACCAGAATGCGGGATGGCGCCAAATGTCCGAAATCCGACAGTATCAGAAGAGGGTTTTGGAGGAAGGGTGCCAGGCCGAAAAACATGTAATAACCCTGTTCAGAAGTAGCCTGGGGCCCTGAACTCAGCCCCAGGCCACGCAGACCTGAGTAAGTCTGCGCTGGGCTGTGTGACCAAGACACGCCCAGGCCTGAGTCTGTCGAGCGTGGCTGTGTGACCGAACGCGGCACACAGGAAACTGTAGAGTCAAAGGTACTGCACCCAGGCCCTTGGTTGGATACACTCATTTGTTGTGCGCAGGTACCCAGACAACATCCAGGCCGGATTTCAGGCCAATCTGGGCCCTCATTCGCATCGAGATCTGGACGACCGAGGGATACAGCATCCGGGGCCCAAACCCCACGTCAACACTACATAAGAACTGACTTCCTGGCTTTGACATTGATTCTGTCTTGCGTTGATGCTGACTTCACGCGTTGACTTCAACGTTGGCTCGACGCTGTGACGCTGGCTCAATGCTGCGATGCTGGCATTGTGACTTGGCGAGGTGCTGCTAGTCCGGCATGGTGGCCGGCTTGCTCCTTTCTTCTTGGCATGCTGACGTGGCAGCTGCCATGCCCTATCGCTGATGTGGCTGCTGCCACGTGTACCATTGGCTGACGTGGCTGCTGCCACGTGTTCTATGGCTGGGACTACGTAATCGGCATTGCTGTTCTGTTTCGTCGTCGCTTCAGGAGGAGATCAGGATTGTGGAGAGTTCGAGGATACGTACCTGGTGGTCTTCATGTCGACATTGCTCCGGATGCTGATGTGGAACTGTTTGGACGTGCCACGTGGCACATTGAGGATACTTCGGATACTCGTCCAGACTATTGATTATTGAGGTGCTAGTAGAGGAGGGAGCCCGAAGCAGGAGTGCGCATTGTACTTCCTCTCCTTTGTCTCTTCTCCCTCCTCTCTCTTCGTCTGTGTATGTTTACCTCACCTCATTCTGTCTAGTTACGATTTTTGACTACTAGTAATCATCAGCCGATGGACATTTATCTGGGCTTGCATTGTTGACGACTGTCTTCACGATCTAGGTTCATTGCAATTTGGTATCTAAGCAGTTCTCCTGACGACGACATTTGTATATTGAGTACGCGCCAGGTGGCGCGCAGGTAAGTGGGGCACACACAAAGGTTGAGTAGGTGATGACGTGGCAAGATACACGCTAGGGGTGTTGACGTGGCACATACCTCATTGGCAAGAAGACATTGCCGGGGTTCGCTGATGAAGTACAGATTCACTGGCGAGAAGACATGATCGGAGCAGCTGACGGGGTACAGACTCCGCTGGCGAGAAGACATCCCTACCAGGCTGCTGATGTGGCAGTACGGATCGCGACAAGGGATACCGCACGCCAGCCAGGATCGCGATAGTGACGTGGCATCGCAATCCCATGCTGACGTGGCACATATAGTGTTGTGTCTGAAGACCCTGTTGATTGCTGATGTGGCAGTTCTTGTGCTACTGACACGCGACAGGGTCTACTGCAGATGCTAACGTGGCTATGGGGAACAAGACTGATTGCTGACGTAGCTGGAAAGAGTCATCACACCTGTCTTATGAGGTGGTGACTACCTGCTGACATGGCAACAAACCCTTTGGCTGACGTGGCATGACCTGACTGGATAGACGGCGACGGCATCTCAACGTGACGCGCGGAAGTGGCATGTGGTGAGGATCAGACTACACATTTGCTGACGTGGCATCCAATTATTGATAGACTGGACACTGTGATACAGAGTGCTGACGTGGCAACATTGCTATGTTGGCACTCCCGGGATGACACGTAGCAGGTAGGATACTTCCAAGTAAGAGGTGCACTCTAAAGACGACGGCGGTACAGCTGACTGGACTAATTACACAGCTGTAGTGCCAGCTGTCAGGGAGAGTGCGTGATCGCACTGACATCAAGAAGACACAACAGACTGACGAAGGTTGCTGACAAACTGTTTGCGATTGTTGTTGGCATACTTACCTGTTGTTGTTGTGTGTGGTGTTTGAGTACTTACTTGTGTGTTGTGTCTGATCACACGGGCCTGATGCGGTACCTGTACACTCTTGTTTAGGACGTCATCATGCAGGCAGACAAAGAACAGCAATAGTTAGAAATAGAAATAATTGTACCTGATTCTTTTTCCTTCAGTGATTAGAAATCTTGTTGTTGTAGATCAGTGCGGCCGTGGAATTTATTATTGTTATTTAAGTATTTATTGTGTGGCAGACGCACATCACAATGTCTCATTTCTGGAATTGTTTGAAATTGTCGGTTCTTCACTCGTTTCATTCTTTTCTTTTTCTTCCCAGTCTCACTCACCTTTGCTATTGATGAGGGGACTTCTGACCCCCGAACCAGACAGCAAGTTGAAGAGCGAAAAAGAGTCTTGATTGGCCGTTGAACTCCATGACGCTGGTGCTGAAGTAGAGGCACATGTCCGTGCCCAGTTTGATTTGAAAGCAATTCATGCTGCTATCGAATCAGTTGAGACTGGCACCGACGTCTTGAAAGTTCAGAATGAACTSATCAAGTGTCGTCAGACACTTGACAAGATTATTGTGGAACAACTTGCAAAGATCTCAGAACAGAAGGAAGAGAAAAAAGTTGATGTGACTGAAGAAACCGTGGATGAGAACATCAGACAATWGGAAGAAGCACTTGAGAAAGAAAAGAAGAGGAAACAGGAAATGAGAAGACGTAAAGAAAGAAATGTACAGCAAGAACAAAAAGTGGAAGAAATTAGACAAACTGTCATTCACACTGAAGGGGAAGAACAGGCAATCTCTTTGGCTCAACTTGTGACTTACCTCGCTCACATGGAGATGAAAATTGACCAGACTAATGCACAAATTGATGATATGGGCGCGGGATTAGAAACAATCTCGAACCTGGTCAAAGGAAAACAACATGTGACGAGGGAAAGCGAAACCGGAACGGAAGAGAAGCCGAAGAAATTGATGGGAGACGCAAAGAAGTCTCTCAAAGTAGAAACAGAGAAGACAGAAAGGAAACAGGTAGAGAAGAAAGGAGAACCTTTGAGTCCGCCGAAGTCTCCAAGCGGAACAAAGGACCACACCACACAATCGGAGAAACCCAAGAGAAAGGAGAAGGTGAAAATGAAATTGCCTTTCACATTCTACAACAAGAAAGATGAGAACTTGTTGTTGTGGATTTCTCAGATTCAGACATATTGTAGTACGGCCCCTGTTGAACTCGATTCCCAAATTGCTTTCTCTACTTCTTGTCTCGGGGGGGACGCTAAGGAATGGGTGTTGGCCGAAGCGAATGCGGCAGGATTCGATGACATTGGGGAGTGGGCTGGAACCTTGAACTCCAAGCAGTTCCTTGGTAAGATCAAGGAACGGTTTTTGGACAAAACGACGACCGACAAGGCCTTTGACCAGCTCACCACAATTGGTCAGAAACATTGGACCTATGTGGAATCGTTGTCTCGGGAAGTTGATCGGTTGCTGCAGGTTCCGGGATTGAACCTGCAAGACAACCAAGTCTTGTACATCTATTCCCGTGCTCTACCCGAGCCCATCCGTGGACAACTCGTGGCAGAGTCCAAATCAGGTAAGTATAATTATAAACAGTTTCCGAATCTGGCTCTCCAACGAGAGCAAATGACTTCTCAGGTTAAGAATTCTTATGCGTCTGTTGTGAAATATGGTGGTGGTGGAGGTACAGGTAAGCGGATACTTTGGCGCCAAAAGCGCCAGGACCACAACCTTATCATCTTTGATGACGATACCGTGGAGAAGTAGCCATTGGAGGCCGAGGGTGTGGTGAGCAGTAGTGATTCCGGGAAGGGGGAAGTCACTGCTGCCGTGGTCAACAGGGGAGGACCACGATCGCCAGTCAAGAAGAAGAAGCCACGCTCATTCCCAGAGCATCCCGGAATTGCAACTCGGAAGCCTTGGGAAAAGATGGGCCTGTCACAGGAAACGTGGCAGGAAATAATGGATAATGCACAGTGTTTGAAGTGTCGGATCGCAGGGCATGTGATTGCATGGTGCCCACTCATCCGTAACCCAAAAGCGAGCCGCAGTAGGAGTAACATCTAGTTTTATTGAGTCTAAGGGTTTGGACCAAGATGAAGGTAAGGCACCACTAACCCTTCTGACCCTTTGACTCGCATGGCAGAGGATGGTTCTTTTTCGGCCCATCGTCTGGAACACCCTGAACCTGTCTTATGTCCTCTCTCTGGACAACTCCCTTGACGAGCTTGGTAACAAATTGTTGGCACTACGAAGCTCGTGGGCTAAGAAATCTAAGTCTAAGGGTGACCTACTACTCGCAGATGTAAAGATTGCACGTACACGTGTAGGTGCACTGTTGGACTCAAGATCCACGCGATCCTACATATCCGAGAGAGCAATCCGCAAATTGCATCTTGGAATGAAGGTGAAAAAACTGTCTAAACCTATCACGTCTGTTTTGGCTGACAAAAGCACGATCACTGTCTCGCAGTATGTTGCATGGGAAGGTAAGAAGATTTTGCATGAGGTATCCTTCCTGATCGAAAAGAACCTACCGTTTGACTTGATCCTGGGAATGGATTGGCACGAGGAAGCAAACCCAGATATTAAGTTCAAAGAGAAGGTTGTGCAATTGCGAGACACACAATCTGAATTGAAACCAATCAAATTGTTTCATAAGTCTCACTCTGACTCTAGTCTGTCTTCTTGTTGTATGAGTTATCCAACCTTTCGTTCAATGGTTTCAAAGAAGAAGTTGGAACAGGAAGTAATGTTGGTTTTAGTAAAAAGAGCAGGAAAGTCTTCTTATTCCTATCCTTCCTCGACTGAAAAACTCTTAAACGAGTATAAAGACTTATTTACCAAACCAACAGGAATAACTGCGCGTGCTATAAAGCACACCATTGAAATTATTCCTGGCAGTAAGATTCCCAAGGGCCCTACCTACCGAATGTCTGCTAGGGAACTTGAGGAACTGAGAAAACAACTACAAGATTTAACAAAGAAAGGATGAATTCGCCTTAGCTCTTCTCCTTATGGTGCCCCTGTCCTATTTGTGCCCAAAAAGGAAGGTGAGTTGCGTCTCTGTAGTGATTATAGAGGGTTGAATGCTGTCACTGTTAAGAATGTCGAATCTCTTCCACAAATTGACGACTTACTTGACCAATTACAGGGTTCCAAATACTTTAGCAAGATCGACTTGAAATCTGGGTATCACCAGATCGAGGTGGAACCCTCCGATCAGCATAAGACCGCTTTCCGGACCAGGTATGGCCACTACGACGAGTTTGTGGTAATGCCCTTCGGATTAACGAATGCCCTTGCCACTTTTCAGAGGTCAATGAATGACTTATTTCGTCAATGGCTGGATAAGTTTGTCATTGTCTATCTCGATGATTCTAGTGTACAGTAAGACACATGAAGATCATGAGAAGCACCTTCGTCTGGTGCTAGAAAAGTTGCGTGAGGGCAACTTCAAGATTAACCCAAAGAAGTCTGAGTTTGCTAAGTCAGAAGTGTTATACCTAGGACACATAGTAAACGAAGAAGGACTAAGGCCGGAAGAGAAAAAGGTATCAGCAATTAGAGATTGGCCACAACCTAAGTCTATTATTGAACCACGATATTTCCTTGGTCTAGCTAGTTATTATAGGAAGTTTGTTAAAAACTTCTCACTGATCACTGCACTAATGCCAAGATTGTTAAAGAAAGAAACTATTTGGTTATGGGATAAGGATTGTGAGTCTTCCTTTCGGAAACTGAAGTATGCCCTGACTCACTACCCGGTCCTTAAGATTGCTGACCCGTCTTTGCCTTTCATTGTCACCACTGATGCAAGTCAGTATCGGATTGGCGTTGTTATCCAGCACGATGACGGCAAGGGCTACAGGCCCATAAAGTTTTATGTCTGCACGATTGCTGTCGGAAAAGGTTGCCAACTCCACCTATGAAAGGGAGTTGTATGCCTTGGTCTATGCACTAAACACGTGAAAGCACTACTTATTAGGGAGGCACTTTACTGTGTACTCAGATCACTCTACTCTGAAGTGGATAAAGACACAGCCTAGGCTCTCTGACAAGCTGGTACGATGGTCTGCGTTTATTGATACCTTTGATTTTGAATTGAAAACGATCAAAGGTAAGTCTAATGTGGTTGCATATGCATTGTTCAGACGGAGTGATTCTTTGGTGCAATTGTCTCTTACTTGGATGTTGGGAATGATCTGAAAGACCAGATTCGCCAAGGATATGCTACTGATCCTATCTGGAAACCAATCATGGATATCCTTGTACGAGATCCGTCCCAACTACCCAACTATAGACTAACTGGTGGATTGTTGTTCTTGATTGACCAAACCGAACAAAGACTGTGTATTCCTCATAAGGAAGAGATTAAAAGTCTGTTGATTAGGGAATGTCACGATTCTGAGGGTCATTTTGGTTTCAAGAAAACATATGTTGAAGTCAGAGAACGTTTCGAATGGAAGGAACTTAAAGAAGATGTACTAACATATGTTCGTACCTGTTTAGTGTGTCAGAGAAACAAGCCGTCGCATGAGAATCCCCTTGGACTTCTCAAGCCATTACTTATACCAAGCGAACCACGTGAGTCCATCTCAATTGACTTCATGCGTCTGGTTAAAAGTCGCAATGGTAATCGTCAAGTGATGGTAATTGTGGATCGTTTCTCTAAATACGCTATGTTTGTTCCCTTACCAGCAGAAGCGCGTACTGAACTTGTCATTCAGAAATTTCAGATGCGATGGGTCACTGAGTATGGGTTCCCTAAAACAATTGTATCTGATCGAGATGTCAAGTTCACCTATCTGCCATGGCAAAAACTGATGGAAGCTTATGGTACACGGCTGACCATCTCGTCAGGGAGGCATCCCAAAACGAATGGCCAGACTGAACAGATGAACCGTCTGTGCCAACAACTTTTGCGTATGTATATTCGACCCGATCAGATTGATTGGGACGATAACTTACCCAAAATTGCGAGTGCATATAACAATAGTATTCACACTTCCACGGGACTAACCTCGAATGCACTACACAAAGGGTGGAAGCCGAAACGTCCCATTGATGTACTAAACCGGGACCAGTTTCTTAGGTTGCCCCCAGGGACCCGAGAGCATGCAATCTTGTTTCAGAAGGACATTCAGAAAGTTAAAGATAATCTTAGGAAAGCTCAACTACGGATGATTGAACAAGCCAACAGGCACCGTCGACCATCTACATTCAAAGAGGGTGATTTGGTTTGGGTAAAATCTAAAGAGTTTTCAGTAGAAGAAGATGTGTCCCATAACTTGCTACCTGTCTATTTTGGACCCTGGGAAGTTCTCAAGGTAATTGGAGATGCAAAGGGACCGTCTTATCGAAATGATATTCCCCCTCATCTCAAAACATATTTTGTCTTTCATGCGTCCAAATTGTTGCCTTACGTAGAAGGAAATGAGTTTCCACACAGACCCTCTATGATTCCACCAGACATGGATGGCAGATACGAGGTTGAGAGGATCATAGAGCATGGTTACTTCTCTACGGGAGGACGTGGACGACCTCAGAAGCAGTTCAAGGTACGTTTTAAAACTCAAGCACCGTCTGAGGACAGATGGTTTAGTAAACGAGAACTACTTGAAACTGCTCCTCATATTGTCGCTGCTTATGAACGAGGGTTAAAGTCTTAAATATTTTTGCGGTGGAACTCGAAAATGGGCCGGCAGGAATGTAATAACCCTGTTCAGAAGTAGCCTGGGGCCCTGAACTCAGCCCCAGGCCACGCAGACCTGAGTAAGTCTGCGCTGGGCTGTGTGATCAAGACACACCCAGGCCTGAGTCTGTCGAGCGTGGCTGTGTGACCGAACGTTGCACACAAGAAATTCAAGAGTCAAAGTCAACTGTAAAGTCAAAGGTACCGCACCCAGGCCTTGGTTGGATACACTCACTTGTTGTGCGCAGGTACCCAAACAGCATCCAGGCCAAAGGGAATTCGGTTTCAGGCCAATCTGGGCCCTCATTCGCATCGAGATCTGGACGGCCGAGGGATACAACATCCAGGGTCTCGCGTCAACACTACATAAGAACTGACTTTCTGGCTTTGACACTCATTCTGTCTTGCGTTGATGCTGACTGACTTCACGCGTTGACTTCAACGCTGGCTCGACGCTGCGACGCTAGCATTGCGACTTGGCGAGGCGCTGCTCGTCTGGCATGGTGGCCGGCTTGCTCCTCTCTTCTTGGCATGCTGACGTGGCAACTGCCATGCGCTATCGCTGATGTGGTTGCTGCCACGTGTATCATTGGCTTGGCTGCTGCCACGTGTTCTATGGCTGGGACTACGTAATTGGCAATGCTGTTCTGTTTCGTCGTCACTTCAAGAGGAGATCAAGACTGTGGAGAGTTCGAGGAAACATACCTGGTGGTCTTCATGTCGACATTGCTCCAGATGCTGATGTGGAACTGATTAGACGTGCCACGTGGCACATTGAGGATACTTTGAATACTCGTCCAGACTATTGATTATTGAGGTGGTAGTAGAGGAGGGAGCCCGAAGCAAGAGTGGGCATTGTACTTCCTCTCCTTCGTCTCTTCTCCCTCCTCTCTCTTCGTCTGTGCATGTTTACCTCACCTCATTCTATCTGGTTACGATTTTTGACTACTAGTAATCATCAGCCGATGACCATTTATTTGGGCTTGCATTGTTGACGACTGTCTTTACGATCTGGGTTCATTGCAAACAAAAGAAAGGAGTAGAAAAAAGAGGAAAACGAAAGGAAAAAGAAAAAGGGCGGGCTAAGTCCCGCAGACCAGGGATCGAGCCATGGCGGGTCTGTAACACTATCCCTTCCCTCTCGAAGACAACGTCCCGACTGCCAAAAACCCAAGTCTGAAACTGAAAACTGTGAAGGATGGGAAGCGGCCGATCACTGGGAAAAGGAAGGAAAGGGAGAGTGGTAATGCACGTAGCAGGGTCCGGGTAATGGGTGGGTTAACAGGTGGGTTAACTGATAGGGTAGTGGAAACAAGGGTATGATGGTAAGGAACAGGGTTGTACCACTGATGAACTACATAATTGGACACTGAGGGCATGGGTGTCTGGGTAACAGGGTTGTCCTACTGATGAACTACAAGATATAGTTTGTCAAGAATGGGGGAAAAGAGAAATTGGTGTACTGTTTTCCAGGCTTGAGGTTTCTGAGGGAGTAGAGGTAAACAAAAAAACTCTCAGGTCGGCAGTGTCTTCAAAAGGTCTTGGTCAGGTCTTGAAGTAGGTGGTAGCAGGGAGCTGATGAGAGAACCGGTCTTCAGCAGGCTGCAACACGTAGTGGTTGAAAGTCGAGCTTCAAGGAAGCGAAGTGCAAGAGTCCAAGGTCCAAATCTGATGGGGAAGTCTGATCCGGTAGCAAGTGCATGTCGCTGACTGAGGCTGATGTCCATCTCAAGGGTGCTGCTCCAGAAAGTCTGTGAGTCCATATGTCGGCCAATGCAACAGCATGGTGGCCAACCAGCTGCGTCATTTCCTCGAACAGTGTTGCAGCAGGCCATCGTCCTCCTACGCTTGCCATTAGATCCTTTATCGTCGGCGTCACGCAGTGCCACAGGAATTGGACAAGAGAGACTAAGAGTGTGGCAGAGGACAGATGGGAGGAACTAGGCTGAGTCAAGGTCGGATCAGACGGAGAGAGGTCAGGGTTAAGGAAAGGGGTTTGGCTTGGCTTAGGGAGGGGTGTGTGTAGAGGAGGGCGACAGGTATATGCAGGTCAGGTCGATGTATGTATGAGCTAGGGCAAGTAATAAGCTATGTTACAGGGTGGGCACAGTTATAGGCATGAACAAGTTTCATGGCATTCTTTAGATTGTGCAGGGGTTTGAGGATTCGTCGTCAGGGTATCCGGTCCATTTGACTTTGTATTATGTGATGCGCTTGGGGTGGTTGGTGACTTGAGTCGTTCTTCGTCCAATGATTGATTCTACGGGGAATTCTGGTCCCGTTGGGAGCATGATGGGTGGGGGGCGAGGGTAAGGGCGATCAAAGAACTGAGGAGGTGATTCATGGAATTCCTTCAAGTACTCTACGTGGAAGACAGGGTGGACGCGGTTCATAGTGCAAGGGATGCAATGAGCGTGTTTGGTGAGGCGGCAGACAACAACATAGATGCAGTCATGGCCATGGTCGGTCTTGGGGAGACCGCAGACGAAGTCCATGGAGAGACTGCCACATGTGGGTGGGTATGGGCAATGATTGGAGCTTGCTAGGCCTCGCCTGGTTTGAGGGGCTGACTATTTGACAAGTACGGTAGGAGCGGATATAGGCTTTGACGTCGGCAAGGAGCAAGGGCCAGTAGAAGTAACGAGAGATGGTGTCGGAGGTTTTCTGGAAGCCGAGATGTCCAGCAGCCTTGGCGTCGTGGTGCTCGGCCAAGAACTGGGTGCGGAGGCCACGTACAGCGGGGATACAGAGTCAACAAGCGCCTTTGGTGTCAATGTACAAGAGGTTATCATGGAGTGAATAGTTGGGGATGGTGTCAAGGTCAAGAAGTTTGGTATAGACAAAGGAGAAGTCCGGACATGACGAGTAACCATGGATACAATATCGAAGTGAAGGAGGGAGTTCAGCGTGAGTCATGGCGGTGAAGACTTTCTCCGGAGGCTTGTAGTCAGGGCGGCGAGAAAGGGCGTCAGCAACACGATTGGTTTTGTCGGGGGTATGACAAATGGTGAAAGTGAATTGCGCCAGAAAGTCCAACCAGCCTGCTTGACGAGGGGTGATGTCTTTCTTGGTGAGGATGATAGAAACGATGGTATTGTCAGTGCGGATGGTGAAGTATTGGCCGTTAAGGCAGGGGCGCCAGGCTTTGAGGGCAACGATAACGACGAGAAGTTCCTTCTCATTGGAGGGGTAGTTCATCTCGGCGAGGATGAGCTTCCGACTCGCGAATGCAATAGGGTACTCGTCAGGTGGAGGTTTGGCGCGAGTGGGGGAGTCTTTGATGGTGAGCGGGTCAGGGAGGTCACGTGGGTGGAGACGTTGAAGTTCCAGGCGCTCCATGCGTTGAGCTCATTGTTGGGATAGGACGGCTCCAAGGCAAAGTCCGAAGCGTTGGTGGTGACGTTGAAGTGACATGAGCGGTCAACGATCTTAAGAACCGGGGTGGTGGTGATAAGCTGTTTGAGGAGGTCGAAGGCGGTTTCGCGACCTATGTTCCATGCGAAGGGCTCGGTTGCACGAATGAGTTCATGAAGTGGGTAAGCAGTTTCGAAAAAGCCACGGATGAAGGGGTGGTAGTAATTGGTAGGACCGAGGAAGGAATGAAGTTGTAGCAAGGTGGTGGGTGGGGGGAACTCGACGAGGGCGGTGACCTTCGAGGGATCCATGCGAATACCTTCAGCGGAAACAATGTGGTTGAGGCATTGCACACTCGAGGCGGCAAAAGTACATTTGATGAGCTCGGCGTAGAACTTTTGGTCATGGAGGATGGAGAGTACCTTTGTGGAGGTGCTGAAGGTGGGACTCAGAAGGTGGGACATAAGACAAGGATATCGTTGAGGTAGATTACAACACAGATTTCTAGGGGGTCACAAAAGATATGGCTCATCGTAGACTGGAAGGTTGCAAGGGCATTGTGAGGTCGAAAGGCATTACAAGGAATTTGTAGTGCCCGAAGCGAGAGCGGAAGGCAGTCTTATGAGTACCTTCCTTGCGAATGCAGATCTGGTGGATGCCACTGCGGAGGTCAATTTTGGTGAAATATTTGGCTCCATGGAGGCTATCAAGAAGTTCGGAGATGCGGGGTAGTGGATCCTTGTTCTTGGTCGTGATCCGATTCAAAGCACGGTAGTTTGTGCACATGAGGAGTTTGGAGGTGCTGTTTTTCTTGACGAAGAGACAGCTGGTAATGAAGGGCGATGAGCTACGCTTAATGAATCCTTTTTCAAGGAGTTCATTGAGTTGTCGCTTCATTTCCTCGGCCTCGGGGACGGAGAGTTGGTATGGTGGCCGACAGGGAGGAGTGTGCCTGGGTTCTAGATCGATGGTGTGAGAGACGCCATGATCCGGGGGTAGACCGGCGGGCAAGGACTCGGGAAAAACGGCCTTGAACTCTGTGAGGAGGGAAGTGATGCGTGGGTCGGAAGGAGAGGCTTGGTCTGGCTTGTCTGTTGGAAGCAGGTCCTTGGGACGCTCACGATCAATGACGAGGCAATAGTAGGCGGAGTCGGGATGTTGGCGGCTCATGTGGAGGAACTGATGAGGGGAGACGGGGGGTGGGGTAGTAGGAGGAAGAAGGTAAGGGATGTAGAGGGTAGCGTCGGGAGATGTAGTAAGGTGAAAGAATGATGGATGGAATGAGTCGGGCATGTAATGGTCAAACCAAGGGGTTCTCAGGACGATGTCGCACATGAGGTGCATGACATCGAAGGAAATCTGACTGCGAAGAGGACCAACTGTCATGGTGATATCGGGAATAATGCGATCAACAATGACAACTGAAACCTTGTCCCCTCATCGAATAGTAATCGGGAAGTCGTAGCCGGTAGAAGAGAGACCGACTTTGCGGACACAAGCGTCGGTGATGAAGTTGCCATTGGCACCTATATCAAGGAGCGCCTGGAACTTCATCATGGTTGTGCCAAGAGAGACGGAGACAAACTTGAGCTGAAATTGAGCGGTTCTGACACAAGCAGAGGAGATCATGGTGTTGAGGCAGCGTTGCTCCAGGCCTAGTCTAACAAGCCAATCGTGTCGGGCTTGTTCCTCAACAACATCAGAGAAGGTAATGGAAGAGGTATTAGGAAGAAGAGTGGAAGTAGGGAGCTCGACTGACGGAATGGGGGATGTCGTTGAGGGCGGGGGGGCAGGCGGAGTGGACTGTGACGCTTGGGGGTCGTCCGGTGGGATATGCGTCACCGAACGGGGGGTAGGCATACAGATCGTTGATGCCAAATTGGCCATCAGTGGAATGGAAGTCGTCACCGATGGTGGGGCCAGTAGACTAGTTGTCGATGCCAAGTGGGGATCACGACATTCCAAAGGACAGTGTTCATGTCTACGAGGGACCGGATCCCGTGGTGGGGGGTGGAGCGGAAGTTACGGGTCAGGATGTCGTGGACAGTCGTGGAGGTATCCCAACCGGCGGCAACGGAAGCAGCCACAATTGGCTTGGAAGTAGGTGCGTTCCTCATGAATTGGATGGTGTTGAGTTCTTTGGTGGTGAGGGACGAGGAGTCGAGTGAGTCGGAAAGTGTGTCGAGGTTGGATGTGGAGAACTCGTCCAAGGAAGTGGTGGAGGTGGTGTCTTCGGAGGTGATGTTGTGAAATAACCGGGGGCGGGAAGGGGCCGATGTGAGTGCAGCCTTGTAGGGGGAGAGGAGGCGGTCAATTTGGAGAGCACGAGCGAGGAGGTCGGTGAGGGTCATGGAAGGCTCGTGTACAAGGGCTGCCACTAGGTCCTTGTGGCATACCCGCTTGACGCAGGAGATGAATGCAGTGTTGATGATGACTTCGATGGGGATGTGCTGGCAAAGCGAGAAGACGCATTGAACAAAACGGTTGGTTGGTCCGTTTTGGTGGAGTCGGCAAAATTGGTCGAGGTAGTCATCAACTGTTTTTTGTGGATGGAAGGTGGAGGTGATCGTGGCAGCCCACTCAAGAAAGGAGTGAGGTGGAAGATTGGCATGATGGCGGTTGGACATTTTTGTGTACCACCAGCGAGTGGCGCCTTCTAGGAGTTTGGTGTCGGAGATGGGGAACCAGTGGATGACGGGAATGTTCTGGAGGGAGAAGGCTTGTTGGAGTTTGGTGAGAAAGAGAAAAATGTCCTCGTGGGATTGGTCGGAGAAGGTGGGGATCTCATTTGCGCGGAATGATGAAGGGATATTGCCGACTTTGGGGGCAGTAGCAGCAAGAGCGTTGAAGCCAAGGGTAGTGGAGAAATAAGCGATCCGGGTGAAATCGTTGGTGGGGTTGGTAGGAATGAGAGCATTTGGGGAAGAAGTGGAAAAGCCGGGTGCAGGGCTTGTGGTGTGGGACTGATCTGGGTATAGGTGGGGAGGGTGGAGGTGATAATGGACGAAGTCAAGAGAGGTTTTGATTGGGGGGGAATGGTCGACGAATGTGTGACGGTGGGGGTTGTCATCTTGGGTGAGAGGGGAGGTGGGATGACCATGGTGGAGGTGGTGGTGGATAAAGGCGAGGGCGTGGATGACGTGTTGGCAGAGAGAGCGATGGATGTGGAGGAGGTAATTGGTGTGGATGTGGAGGCGGAGGGTGGGGGAAGGGTGATGGAGCCCGAGGTGGAGGGGGCCGTGGTGGTAACGACTTAGGTGGTGGAGGAGGCAGTTGTTCCATGGTGGTCATCTGGTCGGAAAGGCCGGAGAGGGACTTTTGGAGGGAGTCCAGGGTGGGCTTCATGGTGGTCATAAGGGAGAAGAGGGTGGCAGAATCAACAGGAGCCTCCTGGGCGGAAGCCTGTTTGCCAGTAATTTTGCGACGGAGGCTATCGACGGACAGGGTGTTGATGGGGGACATGTTGATGCTAGATTCCTCGGCCATCGCGAAGGAAATGACCGGGGTGGTGGCGGTTGATGGAGAAACGGGCGGTGACGAGGTGGAGGCAGCTGAAGCGACGGTAGCAGCGGCGGCTTCGACAGCGGCGCGCTGAGAGTTCTTGGTTTTGCATGGCATGGGGGTTGAGGAGAAAGGGGGGAGGTAGGTTTGCACGAGTTCTTGGAAATTTGGAAAATTTTGATTTTTGGAATTAACGAAAATTTTTGAAGTTAAATTAATGCAAAATATGTAAAAAGAAATGTGCAAAATTTTAAATAAATTAATTTAACTCGAAATTAGTTAATTTCAGGGTGTAATTTCGGATTTACTTAATTTAAGTTGGACATAAAATTCAATTAATGAATTTCGAGATGGAATAATTTGGGAAAATGAAATTTCAAATGTAATTTCGGATTGATTTTACAAAAATAAAAAAGAATGAATTCCAAAAACTAAATAATTAGGTGAAATTAGGTTTTTCATAATTTTAATTTTGAAAAATTAAGTGAGATGCAAAATTAAGCTTTGAAATAAGTTCGGATCTAGGCTACCAGAGTGGCCCGAGGTCACTTGCCCGGCCGGGCCAAAAATAATTAACAAAAAAAAAAAAAAAAAAATGTGAGGATTGAGCCCTCAAAGGGGCCTTGCCGTGATGTACATGTTCTGGGCTAAGGCCCCCAGCAAGCCTCGTGCCCGCCCTAAGTGAAGGCGGGCCAGCAAATCAACGAGAGCCCTTTGTTCAAACATTTCACGAAGTGGGGTCCATACAGTTGCCGCACGCCAGTTGGTTGGAGTGCACCGAGTATCGGATCTATGCAAATGCAGAAATCCCAGGGCCCCAGAATTGGTTAGGCCCTGGGCACATAAACGTGAGGCCGACAATGCATGCTGGATATAGAGGGCGAAAATGCCAATGGGAAACCGGCCCACTATCTGAATCTGGCCGCAGGCCTTGATGAAAGGGGCGCAACTGCATCTCCTGGGCCCCAACCGCATTGGGCCTGGGTAAAGGTACTGGGGCCCAGGCGCAGGCTCAAGGGAGGCCGCCCACACGCAACACTGGCATATAGGCAGGGAGGGCGAGTGGGCAGGGATCTTGGCCATTGCKAGCAAGGCCGGCACGCTGYTGCATTGCGAGTGTGCCTGCRCTGCGCTAGGCTGAGGGAGAGCAGGCTGGCGCTAAGCGGTAGAGCGCAGCCTGGGCGCAGGGCGCTGGCGGCCATAGCCGGGCTGCCTGTGGGCGCAGAGAAGCTGAAGGGCGAAGGTGGTTCTTCGGAGGTGAAGGGCGCTGGGTGGGATAACAATGGAGAGTGAGGGAGAAGAGAGAGACGTACCTGTTGGAGAGGAGGTCGACATCGGTGTTGACATCATCACTCGCTGGTCGTCAAGTTGTCTAGTTGCTTCCATGCTGTAGTTGTAGCGATAGGCTGTAGAGTAGGTAGGGCGCCTGGCGCCATTCAAGAGAGAGCAACATTGGGTTATGGTGTTGGTGTTGCCCGATTGGGCTTGGACACTGACTCACGATTCTTCTGTATCGTTCTCAAATGGATAGTTACTCGGTTCCATTGTGCTATCTGCTCTTGCTTTGACTACTTGGACTTCAGTGTGATTTTCCAATCTGGATTTCTGTGCTTCGTCCACATTCATGTTCCTTGCATTTTGGTATCAGAGCTGGTTCGATTCGCCACTTACCTTGGTGCGCTGGCGTTATACAGACTTGGTGCGTTGACGATGCTTCTTCGCAGTTGGTTCTTGTGACGTCAGGCCAACATTAGGCGCACGGCCTGGGTAGAGAGGTGTGCGCCAGAAGGCTATACGGCATGCTATGCCGTGGTTACAACGGAATGTATTTTTGGTGATGAGAGCATATTGATGTGGCATTTAGCTGAGGTGGCACTGCATTGCGTTGTGGGTGGTACCGATGCTACGACCGGTCATCAAATGCACACTCAACTCAATTGGTGAGAAATCTGTGGTTGGGGGCAGCTATCCCCAGGTACGTTGTTCCCTTACCTTATCTACCCTCTCAATCTCTTCTTACCGCGAGGAAGTGAGTCCAACTTGAGAGTCCTCTCTTTTGGTGAGGTGTCGTGTGTGCGCTACCTTGAGAGACGACAATCTTCCCGGAAGCATCTGGAAGGAGAAAGGGCGGTGCCTCTGAAGGGCCCTGGTCGAAGCACTTGGGTCACAGTCACCATGCCAACCCAATGGGAGTAGATCACGCATGCAATGGTTGCTTGTCCATTTTGGCACCTTGCTGCGCTATAGAAGTCGTGCCGGGGGTGCCAGCCCATAAGAGACGCTTACCAGACCGTCTATAAATATTTCTGGCTGGGGACTCGGTGTTGATACTGGCTGTGATCGTCGTCCTGTCTGCGACATTAAATAATTCCTGAGGAGATGGGGGCTCTCCTTAAATCCCTCCTGATCAGCCAGATCAAACCGGGTTTCTAAGGCTCGTTCCGTATGAGGGTAAATAAGAGTGGATGGGCTGGCTTGTTCGGCAATGACTTGGGGCACAAGGGTGGGCCGACATTACACACGAAGACACTGCTGCTCAAAGATGCTCTTCGGTATGTTGGATTGAGGGGAGGGTAGGTTCTAATTGGTGCTCAACTGTAAACACAACTATATCCACTGTTCATACATCTGCAACATATTTTAGTTGTATTGTTGATTAGTTGGTTGACAGACTGCTAACACCTCACAAACAGTTTTAGTTTAGGACTGTTGTAGACTACCCAAGCCAGTTCTATGCAAAACTTCTGTAAGTAAACAAATCACGATGCAACTAAAATATGTTGACAGTCTATTGTGAATGCTGTAGGCTGCCACTTGATCAGTCAAGTAGAGGACCTGCCGGACACTATTATTTTTAGAAAATTAGGTGTCAGTCAGACATATGCTGTGGTAGGACTCCAGCAGGGAGTTGTAGTGCACATAGTGTTTGCCTAACTGATGAGCGGGTCAGACACCGATGAGGGTGGAGTTGACAATGTGAGACTGACACATTCGAGATCACATAGGGTCCTGCACGTGTTTCAGACCTTACAACCGGGAGACGAAAGACGGCTTCGTGCCGAAAATAGAGCCCGTGCTCTCGCAGCAGCCAGGGAAACAGCACTAGCTGCAAGTCAGGCGTTGGCAGCAGCAAACGCAGCAGCTAGAGAGCAGGCAGCAGCAGCCAGAGCAGCAGCAATGGCTAACGGCGCAGCCTCTGCTGCGTCCTCGTCTGCGTCCTCGTCTGGGACCCAGTTGGGAATGCCCGCTAGGCCCACGGGTACTTCAGGGGCAGTAAGTTCTAGTCAGTCCACAAGTCAAATGGCGGGCTCGCAGTTAAGCCCGTTGACCCCACGCGGCAGGGAGCTCCTAGAGCTCCAACAAGTCGAAAAGATGCGTGAGCGGTAAGAGAGGGAACTGAAGCAAGCCACCGATAGAGAAAAGGAGATCAAAAATAGAACAGCCAGGCTTGATACGTTAGAGGCAGACAAAGCTGCATTGGAGGGTTTGGATGAGTCAGCCATGACTGACCAAAAAGTACTGAAGAACAACGTATTGTTGCTGCATGCGCATGTGGACAGCAGACTGGACTTCATGCAGAACTCTTTGGACCAGATCTTGGACCTTTTGCAAAGGCCAGGATTTAGGCCAGCAGCACAATCGCCGTTGCCGTTAACGACGATGTCAGGCCCCTTTCCGGTACAAGTTGGCACACAACCAAGTGGTACTTCTGCAGCAGCCGCACAGACTGTTGCTTCTTCTTCTTCTGGGTCAGCGGTGATAGCTACACCATCACCGCAACAACCTGTTCCTCAACAAGGACAGCAGCAAGGTCAATGGTACCCAAAGAGCCCTATGAAACCGCCCCTTGCCTTCTCCGGAGAGAAGAAGGAAGAGGAACTCAACACATGGTTGAGAACGGTTCCTGTGTGGGTAAGGGCAAAGAGGACTATGCAGGAGGAGGAGGTGATTACTGCTGCATCTTATCTGGAGGGTAAGGCAGCCAAATGGCTGGATGGATTAGTAGCAAAGGCCGGGTACGGACGACGCATGGCGGACTGGGCTAAGACCCTAACGTTAGAAGAGTTCTTAGACATGGTAGAAGCTCGCTGGCATAATCCAAAGCAGGCACAAATGGCCACTGATGCAATGCTCAGACTAGACCAACGAAAGTTCAAGTCAGTCAGCGAGCTAACGACTTCCGTAGAGAGCCTCATTGTCGTTCCCGGCATACGCTACGATGACCAGGTCTTATTGACCATGTTTGTGAGATGTTTCCCAGAGAATCTCATAAATTTGCTGGCCAGCGAGACACGCCTCGAGTATCATTCGTTTGAGACCTTATCTAGAAAAGCCTTAGACTTAGAGGCTACTCTAGGAAGTGCTCAGCCTACTCCAGTAGACGCGAGGAAGAAGAAGAGTCCACAGGAGTGGAAGAAGAAGGGGAGTCAATTGATGATGGTTGAGTCTGATGGGACCCAAACTGAGATCGAGGAGCTTTCAGACCTGTTGGACAGCACAGAGTACGACGGCGAGGAAACAGCTGAGGGTAGCACCCTCGCCGCAGTAGTAAAGACTAAGGCCGGTGGCCGAGGGAAGGGCCATCAAAAGAGTCAAGGGCAGGCCGCCTCCAACCAAACCAAAGTTGCTGATTGGGTCAAGGTAGGTCTTGATCAAGAAGTGTGGCGGGACCATAGAGTGTGTGGTGCTTGCATCAACTGTGGTGAATATGGACACACCCAGTACAAGTGCAAGAATGCAAAGGTCACGCAGAAGATACCCCCTAAGGTAGGGGTACCTTCTTCCTAGGCATCTAGCTCGGGAAACATGTGAGGCCGGTGAAAGTTTTAGCAGCTTCTACTCATGGTGAAGTGGGCCCAATACCCTCCCCACTTCATGAGCAGGCCATAGCTGACTCTTTAGTCACCCTGCAGACTCATCAAGACCAAACTATACTCTGTACATTTGATGTGTCTGATGCCTTAGAAGATTTAGAAAGTGAGTGGTCAAGCAAGGACCCTCGCGAATCTTGGGTGGCACTAAGAAGAGGTCCTAGAGGGGAACATTTCGTTGTGGAAGTTGCTGTAGGAGACCGCAAATGTGGTGCCTTCATAGACATCGGCTCCACACAGAATTATATAAGTCGCGACTGCTTGGAAAGGCTGCACCTACAGGAATGGGTACAACACCTTAGTAGACCTGTAGCATCTACTTTGGCCAATAAGGAGCGCATGGTAGTCACAGACTATGTCAAGGATGTAGTCTGTACTTTCTCCTATGGAGGAGGGGAACTTGATCATAAGATTTCGTTCCAGGTTAGCGACGACTTACCATTTGACATGTTGTTAGGAATGTACTACCTTGAGGTTGCCAAGCCCTAGTTTGACTGGGATAAGAAGGTGCTAAAGCATAAGTTGCCTGATGGAAGAATAGTGAGGCTGACTAAGTTCAAAGCCAGTAGTATAATCGATACCTATGGCTGCTTGTGTGCATCAACGTTCTACAATTATTATAAACAGAACCAAGCGGAGGGTATGTACCTAGTGTATGTCTCTGAGAAAGGGGCGGCCGTTAAAACACCCCCAGAGATAGAACACGTCGTTGCTAAGTTTCCTGATCTGTTCACAGAGCCCACAAGAGTCGTCGATAGGGAGGTTGTCCACGCCATAGAAATCATTCCATGGGAGTAAAACCCCAAAGGGAAGGATCTATAGGATGGCTCCGGCCGAGTTGGATGAACTTCGTCGACAACTGAATGAGCTGACAGAAAAGGGATGGATCCGGCCGAGTACTTCCCCCTTCGGATCTCCAGTGCTATTTGTACCGAAGAAGGGGGGTACATTGAGGATGTGCATTGATTACAGAGGCCTCAATGCCATCACAATGAAAAACGCAAAGCCTCTACCTCGCATAGGCGACCTATTGGATAGGGTGCAGGGATGCAAGTACTATAGCAAGATAGACTTAAAGTCCGACTACCATCACATTGCAATAAGACCTGAGGATCATCACAAGACTGCTTTTCAGACCAGATACGGTCTGTATGAGTTGTAGTGATGCCCTTTGGCCTTTGCAATGCGCCGGGTACATTCCAGCACGCCATGAATAGGATCTTCCATGACCACTTAGATAAGTTTGTTGTTGTCTACCTTGACGACATTCTTATCTTTAGTAAGTTTGTCGAGGAGCATGCACAACACGTTGAGACTGTACTTTCTCTTCTGCGACAGCACAAGTATAGGTCAACCTACGGAAATGTGAGTTTGGACGCATTAAGATCCTATACTTGGGTCATGAAGTATCCGCGGAAGGTATTAGGCCGGAAGATGCGAAGGTGGCTAGTATAAGGGACTGGCCACGACCTCAGACTGTTACTGAGGTCAGATCTTTCTTAGGAATGTGCGGCTACTATAGAAACTTCATAAAGAACTATTCCACAGTCGCCTCTCCTTTGACTGATCTGACTCGACTTGACACGCCGTGGGACTGGAGTGATGAGTGCGAGGCTGCTTTCAAACGATTGAAGCATGCACTCATGAATCATAAGGTTCTCATGGTGCCCGATCCTCAGAAGCCATTCATAGTAACCACTGATGCAAGCCAATACGGCATTGGCACAGTGCTGGCTCAGCAGGATGGGAAAAAGTTGAGACCGATTGAGTATATGAGGAAAAAGATGCCATCAAAGAAACTGGCAAAGTCCACCTATGAAAAGGAACTCTATGCTCTTTACAAAGCACTTGTTCATTGGAGGCACTTCCTGTTGGGACGGTTTTTCTACTTGAGAACTGACCATCAGACCCTCAAATGGATCAAGAGTCAACCGGCTCTTTCTTATGCACTCAAGCGTTGGATTGAGGTCATAGATCAGTATGACTTCAAGCTAGAGTATCTGAAGGGAGAGTACAACAAGGTTGCATATGCGCTGTCCCGTAGAGCAGACTACCTAGGGGCGCTAGTTTCTGAGTTTGGTGTATCTGAGGAACTAACTCAATCGCTGGTGGGAGCCTATCAGGAAGACCCTGTCACGATGGACAACATACGCAAACTTCAGGCAAAAGACAAGGCCACAAAAGATGAGTTTGTGATGGTGGACGGGATTCTCTTTCTTGATAAGGCCGGATTTAAAAGGCTAGTTGTTCCATCTAGTGAACGTTTGCGTAGTTTATTCTTAGGAGAATGTCATGATGCAATTGGACACTTTGGCTACAAAAAGACGAGTGCCAATCTAGTACAGCGATTTTGGTGGCTCGGAATACTAGAAGATGCAAAGAAGTATGTTGAGACATGTCAGATCTGTCAGCGGGACAAGCCGCGAACTCGAGCACCGCTTGGCTTGCTGAAGCCCTTACCTATCCCCGCTGGTCCAGGACAGAGTGTTTCCATGGATTTCATGGACACCTTGGTGACCAGTAGGAATGGCAAGAGGCACATTTTTGTCATCATAGACCGATTCACCAAGTACGCTAGACTAATTGCCATGCCAGAGACCGCAAGGACTGAACACGTCATCAAGTCGTTTTTGGACAACTGGGAGCGTGATTTTGGACTACTAAAGTCAATCGTTAGTGACAGAGATGTCCGTTTCACAAGTGAGCTGTGGAAGAAGACTGCTGAACAGATGGGCAGTCAACTTCAGATGACTTCAGGGAATCATCCCGAAGCAAACGGACAGGCGGAGCAGATGAACAGAGTTCTACAACACTTGCTGAGGCATTACATCAACCCCAGCCAGGATGACTGGGATGAGAAATTGCCTCTCATCGCCAACCTGTACAACAATGTTGTACAGAGCAGTACCGGCGTCAGTCCTAACCAGCTACACTTTGGATGGAAGCCTAGATCAGCACTGGACTTCCTCCTGCCTGAAAACCGATCCTCTGCAACTCCAGGCACACTTGAGTACGGTGTGCAGTATGAGAAGTTGCTACAACAAGTTGTCGACCATATCAAGAAATCTCAGCAAGCACTGATTACTTCTGAGAACAAACATCGTCGGCAGTCCTCATTTCAGGTAGGGGAACGTGTCTGGGTCAAGGCTAGTGAGCTAGGATAGGAATTCGAAATCTCTCGCAAACTAATGCCTTAGTATTTTGGTCCCTGGGAAGTCCTGGATATAGTTGGGGATGAGATGGATGGTCCTACCTATGTTATCCGCATCCCTGGTCACTTACGCACTCACCCTGTCTTTCATGCCTCAAAGCTTGCACCTTTTGCTGAGACAGATCAATGATGAGGAAGACCATGGAAGACAGATCAATCCTCACATTCCATCCCCCTTAGCTTCGAAAGTCCGCTGAGATGCTTATTTCGCAGGTGCCTTCCCTTTTAACATCCTCTCATATTCTGCCACCACTTGAGGAGCTGTGTCAATCAATTCCTCTCTGGTAAACCACCGATCTTCTTTTGGATGCGTATGATGCCTGAATCTGACACAATATTCTCTCTTGGGTTTGGGAGGTCTTCCTCTACCCAGTGGCTTTGGAACAGGCAGGTCTATGTGATCCACAATGTCGTCGATGTCCACTTGGCCATCCATGGTTGGGGGCATCATCGATCTCAGCGACCAAGCGAAAGGTGCAAGCTTGGAGGAGTGAAAAACAGGGTAAGTGCGTAAGTGACCAGGGATACAAATGACGCATGAGGGACCATCCAAATCATTCCCCACAATGTCTAAGACTTCCCAAGGACCGAAATATTGAGGCATTAGTTTCCTAGAGATGCCTAACTCCTGTCCCAACTCACTGGCCTTGACCCAGACACGTTCCCCTACCTGAAATGTGGTCTGTCGGCGACGCGTGTTCTCAGAAGCAATCATGGCTTCCTGTGATTTCTTGATATGTTCGACAGTCCACTGCAACAGTTTCTCATACTGAACACCAAATTCAATGGTTTCGGGAGTTGAAACAATTCGGTTTTCAGGCAGGAGGAAGTCTAGAGCAGATTTAGGCTTCCATCCTAGATGCAGTTGATTAGGACTAACGCCGATGGTGCTGCGTACATCATTGTTGTACAGTCTGGCGATGAGAGGTAATTTCTCATCCCAGTCGTCCGGGTTGGGTTTAATGTAATGCCTCAGCAGATGCTGCACCACACGGTTCATCTGTTCAGCCTGCCCATTTGCTTCGGGATGACTCCCAGAAGTCATCTGCAGCTGGCTGCCCACCTGTTCAGGGGCCTTCTTCCACATCTCGCTTGTGAATCGCACATCTCTATCACTTACGATTGTCTTTGGCAGTCCAAAATCACGCACCCAGTTATCCATGAATAACTTGATGACATGTTCAGTCCTGGCGGTCTCCGGCATGGCAATTAGTCTAGCATACTTAGTGAACCTATCAACTATGACGAAGATGTGCCTCTTGCCATTCTTGCTGGTCACGAGAGTATCCATGAAGTTCATGGAGATACTCTGCTCGGGGCCAGCAGGGATGGGTAGAGGCTTTAGTAGCCCAAGCGGAGCTTGAGTCCGCGACTTATCCCGCTGATAAACCTGATAGGTCTCTACGTACTTCTTCACATCCTCTAGCATGTTAGGCCACCAGAATCGCTGGACTAAATTAGCACTAGTCTTCTTATAGCCGAAATGTCCCGTTGCGTGGCGGCACTCACCTAAAAATAAACTACACAAAATTTCCCTAGATGGAACAACTAAGCTTCTGAACCCTGCCTTTTCAAGAAAGAGTAACCCATCCACCATCACAAACTCGTCGGAGGTGGCCTTGTCCTTGGCCTGCAGTTTGTTGATGATGTCCATCGTGATGGGATCTTCCTTGTAGGCTTCCGCCAAAGATCGAGTAACGTCCTCTAGGTAATCTGCCCTCCTAGACAACGCATATACAACCTTGTTGTACTCTCCCTCAAATAGGCTAGTTTGAAGTCATACTGATCTATGACTTCAATCTAGCGTTTGAGGGCATCGGAGAGAACTGGTTGTGTCCTGATCCACTTGAGGGTCTGATGGTCAGTTCTCAAGTAGAAAAATCTTCCTAACAGATAGTGCCTCTAGTGGACAAGTGCCTTGTAGAGAGCGTAGAGTTCCCTCTCATAGGTGGACTTTGCCAACTTCTTTGATGGCATCTTTTTGCTCATGTACTCGGTCGGTCTCAACTTTTTCCCTTCCTGCCGAGCCAGCACAGCGCCAATCCCATATTGGCTTGCGTCAGTGGTGACAAAACATGGCCTTTGTGGGTCGGGTACCATGAGAACCTCATGGTGTGTGAGAGCATGTTTCAAACGCTTGAAAGCTGCCTCACACTCGTCGGTCCAGTCCCATGGTGTGTCAAGTCGAGTTAGATTATAATTCTTTACGAAATTGCGGTAATAACCACACATTCCCAAGAATGATCTGACCTCAGTCACATACTGGGGTTGTGGCCAGTCGCGTATGCTAGCCACCTTTGCATCTTCGGGCCTAATCCCATCCGGGGATACTTCATGACCCAGGTACAAGATTCGAGTGCGACCGAACTCTCATTTCTCTGCGTTTATCTTATACTTGTGCTGTCAGAGGAGTGAAAGTACTTTGTCTACATGTTGAGCATGCTCCTCGACAGTTCTACTAAAGATAAGTATGTCGTCGAGGTACACGACAACGAACTTATCCACGTAGTCATGGAAGATCCTATTCATGGTGTGCTGGAATGTACCCAGCGCATTGCAAAGGCCAAAGGGCATCACCACAAACTCGTACAGACCGCACCTGGTTTGAAATGCGGTTTTGTGTTGGTCCTGAGGTCTTATGGCAATCTGATGGTAGCCATATTTTAAGTCTATCTTTGTATAGTACTTACATCCTTGCACCCTATCCAATAGGTCGTCGATGCGTGGTAGAGGCTCCGCGTTCTTAACAGTGATGGCATTGAGACCTCTATAATCAATGCACATCCTTAGTGTTCCCCCTTTCTTTGGAACAAACAGAACTGGTAAGCCAAAGGTGGAAGTGCTAGGCTGAATCCAACCCTTTTCTGTGAGCTCTTTCAGTTGCCGACGGAGCTCGTCCAACTTGACCGGAGCCATCCTATAGATTCTCCCTTTAGGTGTGTCTTACTACCTGGGATGATCTCTATGGCATGGACAACCTCCCTGTCTACGACTCCTGAGGGCTCCTCGAACAGATCAGGGTACTTAGCGACGATGGTCTCTATCTCTGGGGGTGTTTTAACGGCCTCCCCTTTTGCAAAGACATAGACTAAGTATATTCCTTCCTCTTGGTTCTGTTAATAGCAGTTATAGAAGGCAGATGCGCATAAGCATCCATAGGATTCTATTAACCTACTGGCTTTATACTTGGCCAGTCTAACAGTCCTCCCATTAGGCAACTCGTACTTCAACACCTTGTCCTAGTCAAACTGGGGTTTGGCAACCTCGAGGTAATACATGCCCAATACCATGTCGAAGGGCAACTCATCGCTCACCAGGAATGATATCTTATGGGTTATCTCTCCTCCTAGGTAGGAGAAAGTGCATACTACATCTTTAACGTAGTCCTCCACCATCAGCCGCTCTTTGTTGGCCAAAGTAGATGCTACCGGTCCACTAAGGCGCTGCACCCGGTCCTTTAGACGCAGTCTATCAACGCAGTCACAACTTATGAAATTTCGCATAGAGCCAATGTCTACGAAGGCGCCGCACTTGCGACCACCCACACCAACTTCCACAACGAAGTGCTCCCCTCTAGGACCTCTACTCGGTGCCACTCAGGACTCACAAGGGTCCCTTGCCGACCACTCACCTTGAAGGTCCTCTAAGGCTTCAGACAAAGTGCATACTCGTCGCTCACCAGGAATAATATCTTATGGGTTATCTCTCCTCCTGGGTAGGAGAAAGTGCATACTACATCTTTAACGTAGTCCTCCACCATCATGCACTCTTTGTTGGCCAAAGTAGATGCTACCGGTCTACTAACGCGCTGCACCCGTTCCTTTAGGCGCAGTCTATCAACGCAGTCGCGACTTATGAAGTTTCGCATAGAGCCAATGTCTACGAAGGCGCCGCACTTGCGACCACCCACACCAACTTCCACAACCAAGTGCTCCCCTCTAGGACCTCTACTCAGTGCCACCAGTAAGTTCTTGATGTCTGTGGGAAGACATCTCAAGAACATCGTCAATAAGACCTATGGATTGTACTCCAGTCTAGGGATAACGATCAAGCGCTCTACGGTCGTGGTAAGCTCTCGCACTGACTTGTACTTCCTAGCGTCAAGTTTCAGGAGCCCATCAGTGGCAATCTGGGAATGCGGAGGGTTGTGCCATCGAGCCTCCACTGAATCCATAAAGCTTTCTAGGGTGTGGGTCTGTGCCCAATCACCCATGATCCTACCGAATCCCTTTGAAGTTACTAATCCATTCAACCCGCGAGCTGCTGAACCCTCTAAGTAGGATGCAACAGTAATCACCTCCTCCTCTACCAACGTCCTCTTTGCCCTCACCCACACTGGCACCGTTCTCAACCACGTGTTGAGAGCCTCATCCTTCTTGTCTCCTGAGAAGGTTGGAGGTGGTTTCAGGGGGGTCTTGGGATACCAAGGCAATTGTTGTCCCGCTTGCGGGATAGGTGGCGACTGTGATGTAGCACCAGTCGCTGAACCAGAAGATGAAGAAGCAACAGTCTGAGATAGGGCTGTTGCTGATGTACCACTTGGTGGTGGTCCGGACTGAGCGGCATAGGGGCCTGTCGTCGTTGAGAATGGCAGCTATGGCAAGACTGCTGGCCTGATTCCTGGCCTGTGCATGGCGTTCAGGGTCCAGTCCAAGGTGTCCTGGATGGTATCCAAGATGGTATCCAGTTTACTGTCCATGTATGCGTGCATGGACATGATGCTCGCCTTAAGAATCTTTTCATTATTGCTAATGGTCGAGTCACTGTTGTGGATTTCATTTTCACGTTAACTGGAGACTTTGCACAAATCTGAGATTACTGGAACTTCAACGTCTGTGGAGTATCTTCCTGACTGGGTTCATTACAATTTGGTATCAGAGCTTACTCCTCCATCGCAATCTGCTGTCAGGTGCTGACGTGGCACCCAGGTAAGTGGGAGGTGCCGCATGTGCAAAACAAAACGCGTTCCTTAACGTGCGCGATAAATACCGCAAGTCTAGGCATTGTAGTATTGCACGTGCGAGCAGCTGTCCCTTGAAGATGATGACGTGGCTGCATTGAAGACTTCAAGATACCAGCGAGAGCGTCGTTGGCAACTGGCTGACGTGGAGCTGCTCAAGAGACAGATCGGGACCGCTAATGTGGCGCATTGTTCTCATGGCATGATGATGTGATTGGCAGGACATAGACTGACGTGGCGCGTACCTGTGTCACTATTGTCTGTTGTTGATACGCTGACATGGCATGTCGGTGTTGAGTGTGTGGCAGACCTGCACTGTTGATGTGGCATACCTCTTTGAAGACCTTTTTGGTCCTTGACGCTGAAGTGGCAGAGCTGCTGCGTTGGTATGCCAGGGGTGAAACGTGGGATGCAACGATTGTGCACTTGTTGCTGATGGTTGCATTGCTTCTGCAAATGATACAAAATAAGCTAACCATTGATTGTGTGGTTTTGTTGGCTTTACTCACCTGTTGATTGTCTGTGGTTGCTGTGTATACTTACAAGTGTGTTGTTGTCTTGATCACACTGTACCTGTAGCTGTAGGACGTCATCACAAAGAACAGACAACAAAGTTAGGATTTATAAATTAATTGAGAACTTGCTTCTTTGTATCTGCCTTGCTCACTTCTTGTTGTAAGAGTTCCGTGTGTCGTGGAATTTATTCTTGTCTTTTGATTTTATTTATTGTGCGACATCTACATGCTGGTAAAAATAAATTCTCTGTGGAAATGTCTGTGTGCCTCCATCTTGACGCGGTTCATTCCTCTTCTTTTCTTTCCGACCTCTCTCATAGTCTATGCCGATGAAGAAGGGGGGGGGCTAAAGACCCATGGCCAAATTGAAACAAGAAAGCAGACCTTGATCGGCTTTCTCCACCAGTTTCTTGGTGAGGTATACGGCGCCGGTTCAGAGATTGAACAACTTATTAGTTCAATCTGCATGCTGCAGAAGGCGAACTTAAAACCGCGGGAAACAGCCGTTCAAGTGATGGAGACCGATAAGAGGGTCGAGGACCTCATAAAGCAAGGGCGAATAGAAGTGCAATTGTCTGTTGAGATAACGGAGGAGAATGTTAGGCAACTAGAAAACACACTTAGAGAAGAATAAAGAAAGATTGAGGAATTCCGGAGACTACAAGAAGTGCAAGAAGAAGAAGAACGAATGGATGAATTAAGGCAAATATTTCACTATGAAGAAGCAGACAGCGAGCTTGCATCCATCCTTCAGTCTATCATGATCTACCTTGTTTCTCTTGAGAAGAAGATTGACCGCAACACCGCCTCATTTGAGACAGTGACCAGATTCCTAAAAGCAAAAGACAAGGTAGGAACTGAGGAGGAGACCAGGGGGGAGGTAGTCAAGAAGGAACCCCAGGAGAAATTAGTAAAGGATGCAATGAAGAGAGTCACGTCGGAAAAGTATGAACGTTCTAAGAAAGAACCCGAGAGACTGACTGAGAAGAAAAAAGAACCTGTCAAGAAAGAAAAACCGGCCAAAGAAGCAGAAAAACCGAAGAAAAAGAAAAAGGTAAAAATGAAATTTGTCGTTTACATATAACTACAAGAAAGATGAGAATCTGTTATTGTGGATCGCGGAAATCTAGACTTATGTAGGGACCGCACCGGTCGAACCCGAAAGTCAAGTGGCCTTCTCCACGTCTTGTCTCGGAGGAGTGGCCAAGGAATGGGCGTTGTCCAAAGCCAATGCTGGG